TCCCTCAATATGAGGTACGTCCACGGGATCGAAATCCGATTCCACTATCAACCAAATAAGTTTCCAAACAATTATAAACGAGACACCAATGGTCTCACAAAATCACCCTTAGGTGAATTCCAAATAATCACAAATAAACAAAGAGAAAAGACCTCACCAAATAGATGAACCAAAATCTTCAAAATCAGAGTTAAAGAAAATCCAAAATAACGAACTAAGGCCAAGTTTGGCATGAGACAAAAAAGACAAAAAGTCAAAAAGTCACTATCCTATTTAAGTCACATCATCTTATTTAAGTCACATCACCTCTCTAACACATCACTTCAAACCTAACCCAAACCCAACCCATATTTCATAAAAAGTCAAAAAATGCACTTATTTAATCTTCCCAAACTAGGCCTAAATCATCCAACTATGAAGCCGAAACCAAAGAAGTAAACCGAAGATTCAGCACCTTAATCAATTAAGCCACTGGATTGACTTTTCCACATGCACTATCTCACAAAACAAATTGATCAATGAAGTGCTGCTGCTTCACAAAAAAAAACGGCTGCTTTTTTTCTTCACACACCCGAGCAAAAACCATAAACAATATATATATATATACACATATTGTTAAATCTAGGACTTGTTTTATCAAAATTCTAATTGTATCCAAATTGAATTGGATCTTCATAAATTAGATATAATATATTAAAATATATTATACCTAAATCAAACCAAATTAAAATTCTTTAAGAAACCAATTGGGTTCCAAACTCCAATAAAGAAGTATATCCCAACAATCCAAGTACAAATAACTATATAAGTTTACACAATAACAGTGTGAAAAAGCATAATTTTCACATTTATGATAATCGAAAGATTATGACACACTTACTTTTCATTCGGTCTACCAACATTTCGAAATTCTCCAGAACGCTAAAAGGAGAACTCTTTTATGAAGCAATTGAATAATCAACCAACTGAATGATTCAATGCAGTTTCTTATTATCGCGAAAAACAGATGCTAGAAAGGCCCTCCGAGCAGGAAAAGGCCCACAATGCACATGAGGCTAGATTTTTTTGCTGCAAGTGTTTCCCTCTTTATCATAAAGAATAGTGTCATTTGAGCTGGTCACATTTCTAAAATAGCAGAATTCAGTACCATCATATTGGTATGCTTGCTTTGTACTCCATAATCTGCTGACCTGCAAGTTGCCCTTCGCAACACTAACAACATGACCATCCTGCAAATTATTTTGAGAACTCGCCAAGAAACCAATATCAGCATCCTTAACCTTCTCCTCATTAAAACCCAATGTTATATTCGTTACAAAAGAGTTAAATCCATTTCCTTGGTCCACATATCTGAAGTATAGGGAAAGGGGAAACCTTTTAAATGATTTGATTGAATACGTAGAAGACGATGGCAACATGGCATAGACACTATCATTAAAATTGATTATCTGATTCACAGTCGTCAAATCCCCATCATTCCCCACCACAATAATGTTACTGTAATTTAATGATTGAATTGAATTGGTTGTGATCTTCCCATGGGATGACCTCACCCATCCAGTCGATGATATGGACCTACTAGCACTAATCAAAAATTTCCCATTCAGATCTGTAAAATTTGATTCTGGGGTAACAACAGGAGGCAAGCTATTGAGTCTCAAAAGCTGTCCTTCCGTTTTTACACTCTTCTTGTCCAACCAAACGTGCAAATTCGCGTCTATGTACCACACGTTCAACGCGTTTGTGACACTAAATGCAAACTCGTGGCTCTTTCCATCTAGAATTTTTCCCAAAAATGGAGTGATTTCAATATCATAAGAAGGGAGATTGAAAGATCCAATACCGGTAATGGGTCTCCATAGGAGAGGATAGAACCCTCCAGTATAGATCACAGTAAAAGGCCAAACAGCACCAACTATTATACCATCCAGACTGACCACAACCTCCCTAAAAGCCCCATTCCCCGGTGTATTTGTGAGGTTATTCGCAGCAATATATTCATTGGGGAAATTCGTATACCAAAATTCATCATTCTCATGAAAAGAAACATAAACCTCCAACACAGCCCTATATGCATTTTGGGGAATATTGAACATTTTTGATTGTTTATCAATTGAATTCTGAATTAGAAACCACAACCCATCATTCAATGGTAAATTTCGCGAAATGGGTAAGATCAAATCAGCCACAGAACTATACCCACTAACGGAATTACCCAATTTTGGTTCATAAGATTTGTGAGGTACTTCAGCAGCACGGGAAAATGGAATGTTAGGCTCAGATTATACACACCAGTGCGAGAACTATCAACACTATTACCAAGATAAACAGCAAGTGTTTGATTAGTCATCAACGGTGAATAATACCTGGTAATATCCTTCTTGATAGTCCAATCTATTCCTGTGGGTGTTGGCTCCGCTGTGCAGCTCCGGAGAAGCTCAACGCCCCCGAGCCAAACCCCGAAAATGCGATCATATTGGATACCTTTAGATTTTCCCTTCAATTCAAGGACAATTGTGGTGAAATTTTGAGATGGGCAATTGGAAGGAGGGGTGTAATTGGCAAAAGCTGGTGGTTGACCATATGTGAAGCCAAAGTCATGTTGGAGAAGGAAGTATGAGCATGGTTTGGTTTTGGGTAGTTTGATGGGTTTGGTGACTTCAAAGTATGTTGTCGATGGGGGATTGGTGGAGGTTTTGAGCTCAGAGATGAGCTCTGATCTGAAGTTGGTTGCTCTGTGGATGTTTGCAGTGGTGGAGAGAGGTTGGTTGAGGAGGAAAAGGGAGGAGAGGAGGAGGAAGAAGGGGAGGGGAGAGAGAGCCATGAATGAAAGCTGTGTAGTTGCTTTGCTTCAAGAGATTGAAACTTGTATTTGAGTGGTGAAAACAGCAGCAAGCATCCTCTCCTTCATTCCTTACTTGGTGGGCTATTCGGCCTACTTTTAGAATTGAAACTCAATTTTGATTTTCTAAATCGTTCACATTTTAAAATTTATCATGTATATCATACTTGTAAAAAATCAAGTCGATCGAACAGTAAAAATCACATGAATTAAAAGTTTTATTAAACAATAAAATTGTTTATTAAAAATTTTTTAATAAACGATTTTTAGTTCTTCCGATATCCAATCAATTTAATTTTTTATAAATATAATATGTATAACAAATCTTAAAATGTGAACAATTCAGATTAAAATTAATCCCAATAACCCACTAAATAGGGAGCCTATGAGAGGATCCTGCTGGTGAAAACAGAGGAGTAATTTGAATGACATAGAATTCTTCCACACCAGTTGACGGACTTGACTTGACTTGCATCGTCATTCATAAATGAAAGCAAAAGTCTATGAATCATAAAAGAATCAGAAATCAATCAGTGACCTCTAAAATTAGAGTTTTAAAAGGATATTAATTTATCCTTTTTCTATTCTTATTTTATCTTTTACCTCCCTCTATTTAATTATTATTATTATTTTTTTTTTTTAAGAGTGACAGCTCATTAAAGCTGCTTTTCAGCAGCTCGACCTCTCTGGCAGAACCCTAAAAGAATAACTAGAAAATTATTCAAAATTTCAAATTTAGATTTTAGATAATACTCCAAAAAAATATTATACAGATTAAAAGAACCCCACTTTTCTTTTCGTTTTTGTCTCTCTTCCTCTTCCAATGACATCGCTGCTACCATTTCCGCCTATATTGCTTCGCCAATCACTCATTTTACATGTTTTTAAAATAAAATTTTATATGTACACAAGCATATTTTTAATTTTTTTTTTTTTTTATGTTAAAAATGAATATAAGCATGTATAACTTTTATATGAATAAAAAAATAATAAACTACAATCATTACCAAAATGACTCCTGAGGGTCTGATTGGTTTAATTTTAAGAATTTGTTTTTAAAAAAATTCAAAAACTAGTTTAATAAAAAAAAATTGAAAAATCAATAATCTAAAACTCATTATTTCCATATAATTCTCTTTTTTGGACAAAAATAATCTTACCAAAAAAAAAAAAAATTAGTGTTCATTTTTGAAAAAAAAAATTCAAAAACAAATTATGAAAATTCAACTAAGCGAATTTTAAATGCTTTTAAAGGCTTGGGTTGTAAATTTAAATTTCCAAAAACACTACCTACTCAATATGTCAAATTTATTATTTTATTATTTTTATTGTTAATTTACTAAGAAGGAAAAAAAATGGTAATGAAGATTAGACTACTAAGATAATGAAAATAAGATCAGATTTTTTTTTTTTTTTTTTGGGTAAATAAAGGCCCCTTTTGGAAAGTGGGTAATTCACTTTCCAAATTACAACTCACTTCCTCTCTCACAAAAAAAACTACTTATAAATAGCTTTTAACCAAAGTACACAAAAAGCTCACATAAACATAAGTAGTAGTAATATTTAGAAGTGTATATGTGCATATAAATATTCATTCAAGATAATATATAGGTCTGCACAGAAGCATTTTTGTGGGTACCCAGCAGCATAAACACAAAAATGTATGAACATACATATTTGTACAGCTTTGAGCACAAAAAAAGCTTTATATGTAAGTATACAAACACATACAAGCTTGTGCATATATATAAATATAAAGGGCAAATTACATATACACCCCTCCAGGTTTGACAAAATTACAGATACCCCCCTGAGGTTTGAGAAATTACGAATTCCCCCCTGAATGCTATATTTGCATAAGAAATTAGGGGGTAATTTGTTATGAAATATAAACCTCAGGGGGTAAATTGTTATGAAAATACAAACCTCAGGGGACGGGATGTAATTTCCGAAACCTCAGGGGATATCTGTAATTTAACCAAACCTGGAGGGGTGTATATGTAATTTGCCCAAATATTTAAACATATACATATATATAAACACCTATATATTACATATGAGTGTACAATAATCAAACATGCATGCCTATTTATGAGTGTTCATATATGCTTGTGTCTACACATAAATTTGATATGACAAGGGCTTGACTCCAATCATAGAGCAAAAATCAACTTTTTTTAAAATTTCTGAAGAGCGAAATTGCTTTTTTAAGTACTCTTTTTAAGACTACAGGATCAACTAATTTTCAACATCAACAATTTCCACTCCATGATGCCATATAAAAATTAAAAAAAAATTATCTTTCTTACATTCATACAACCAAGAAATATGATCTTGACCTAGCACAATTTCATGTTCTCTACATGGAAATCAAGGGCGAAGAAAATATATTCTGGAGGAATATATGTTCAATCAAGAGATCGATTTAAAACTGATAATTGACCTGAGTCCCCATTCAACAAGAAAACTTCCAAAGGCACATACGTTGCAGACAATATGGAGGATGACCCAAATCTGTAGGTGGGTTGCAGTATTTTGCTCCCCCTGGCACATGGTATAGTGCGAAGACGGGGTCCTGTCCTCATCTGCCAAACCTGCATGGAAAAAAATAAAATTGCTGAGAGAAGCGTGTTCTTTGTAACCCATTTTCGGAAATGCATTTCAGTTCAAGATTCCATATCAATAAAGACAATCCATCAACAATCGTTAGTTCACCCAAATCGAATCCCAATTTGACAACTATGGGCGACATCATAAAAGCACCGTCATATAAATTATGGTGAATTCTTTCTACCATAAAACATCACTTTGATTCAGAAATAAATCTGAAAATATAAATGGGGCATCTATTTTAATGGGGGAGGGGGCCATTTTAATGGGGGAAGGTGCCAATGGAGGTGGCAGCTAGGGGAGACGGTGTGAACTGGAGGGGCGGAGGCTATGAAACCTTCAAGACGGTAGGGGAGGAGGATTTGGGAAGCGAGGTTGGTGGTGGGGCATACCACTTCCCCTCCCTCTCTCCCATATATGCTTATATGCAATGTTGGCTATAATCAACCATGACATTAATCTTTTAGTCAAATAAAGATGAAGGTCAGGTAAAGGCGAAAGCCTAGTTACATTCATGGCTACAAAGGTGAGCACTAATGATATGTCAGTATCTTCCACTATACAACATTGTATACGTTGTTATTTCCAAGATAACAGCAAGGGGAACATGTTATATTCCCAACGCCAGATTTGATGCTAGAGCTGTGAGGTCAGAAATCAAAAGTAATTTGCTAAAACAAGAAAATAGTACCTCAATAATCCCTTTGCGAGGTGCATGAATGGCTAAGCACAAGCAATAATCACTCTTCACATGTTCATAATAAGCAGAACTTGATGCTGCACTATCTCTATGGACTAGCATTTCCATAAACAAGCAGCTAGCTTCACGATATCCCTGTAAAGAAGTGAACCAGAGCTCCTAGCATAGCAGAGGAAAAGAAAAAGGAAAAAAAAATAGAACAAAAGATGCATGTAAAGACATTCAATTCAGTGCTTGTAGAGATCAAAACCTTCCATAACCGCACTACAACAAGTGCCTGAGTATCTAAAAGAAGTATACGGCCAAGCGAATCCGTTATTGCTGCCAATGTACCACTAGGTGATAAAGTAAGTTTCTCACCCTTCCTTGGGTGATCCTTCAAACATGTAAGAGGAGAAGCTGCCATAAATCATAAAAGCAGAACGTAAATTTTTTCGTTGACTGCTGATACTGGTGAGTAGGATACACAATAAACTGTCAAGTGGCATACTGACATTTAAAACACAATTACAACCACAGGAAGCACCATAATAAATTACAACAAATAAAGTACGGAAATGATATATATAAATGAATGAACTTGTGCTTGTATATATCATTGTAGACACCTCATTTTTTACCGCCTTTAAGACTTGGGCGCCTCAGGTTGATCACTTAATGATGAAAGTTACGCTGTACAAACGTTCGATTTTTTCAGCAAAAAGAGCTTCTAAATCCCAACCTTACACTCCATTTTGACCAAAACTATTTCAGACCTTGAAACCCTCTCTTTCAAAATATTTTGACCAAAATATTTTTCCAAATGTTTCTACGAAGTTCCGAGACTCGCATTTCGTTTAAAAGTTGCACTTTTCGGTAAACTGAGCAAGGACAAAGTGGAAATAAATGGAAGAGAGGTGAACTCTTTGAAAAATCTTTAAAACCTCTTATTTATAGGTTTGGAGTTGAAGAAAATTGGAGGAGAGGGAAGAAAACTAGTTGGTGAAGAAGTTGGGTATCAAACCGTTAAGGGAGAACTGAGCAACCTTCACTAAAATAGGCATATCTCTTTGTACAGTTAGACTTTAGTTTTGAGGCCACCACCATTGGAAAGTGGACTTCCGGGACTTCAATTTAAACTCAAGAATCTCCTAAAGCCGAGTTCGAATGAGGGAGATATGGCCATTTAAAGTTAGGCATCAATCCGGTTAAGATAGAAATAAGCAACCTTCACTAAAATAGGCATATCTCTTTGCACACTTAGAATTTAGATGTGAGGCTGTCACCATTGGAAAGAAAACTTCCGGAACTTCAATTTAGACTCAAGAATCATCTAAAACCAAATCTGGATGAAGGAGATATGCCCATTTGAAATTGAGCCTAGAAGTAGATTTTTGTGGCCGGCAGGCCACTATTTGTGGACGGCCGGCCACTACTTCTTGCCTGCCGGCCACTTGTGTAAAGTCCAGATATTTTTGCCAGCTATCCCCCAAAAGCTCCAACTGTTCCTATATAGATATTTCCGACCTGTGAGGCTGTTTTTCTATATATATTTGACCTCTTCTCATGTTTTTAGGTTACAAAAAATTCCAAATGGACCAAAACTTGAAATTCTCTCTCTATCTCTATCTTGCAACCTATACACTCTCTCTCTACACTTCCTAAACCATTATTGGAGCTCTCCTTACTGAGATTCTTGAGTCCAAATTTCAGCCTTTGAGAGTGAAAGACTTGTGGTTTGTGAAACAAAGTGTTATTCCTCTTCAAGAAGTATAACCTTGGCCTTCTTTACACTACTTTTTCCTCATCTTTTCTTACTATTTTTGGACTGTTTTGAGACTGTATTTTTAGGCTGAAACTTGTGATTTAAAGCCATTAAAGGTAGAGGGGTGAATCACCCTTCTTTAAACCTTATTTCATAAGCTTTTACCCTTATGTTTCCCACCTTGTTATCAACTTTTTTTTTTGAGCTTTTTACCTTAAAATGTTATTTTGAGGTCCCAAAAATTGAGGGATAGCCTCCCCTCCTTGAGCTTGTTTACTAGCTTAACTTGCTCCATGTTTTAGCTTATTGTTTTAACTATTGTTAGCTTAATTCCAGCAATTTTTTGGACTTCTTTAGCACTGTTTTTAGTTTTTCATTGCATTTGAGCTTTGTACAGCATGCTTATAGTGTAATAGTCCTCATAGGTTTGGTGGTTTAGGCCTTAGCCACCAACCTATTTGAGTTGGTAGTGTTTATTTCAAGCTTTCCATAGTTGTATTCATATCTAATCACCTTTGCAACCTCCCTCCTTTCTTAGCTTTTTTCTTTACTTTGAAAGTTGTTTCAAGGTACTTGCTTGTTTAAGCTTGAGATAGAAGTATTGTGCTTAATGGTTTATTCCCTTTGGGGATTCATTACTGTACGGGGAAAAGATATTCGTCGTTGTCCGTACTCCTTTCGTCCAAGCTCCGAATATATCCAATCAACCAAATCATGTTCCATCCCCAGCATGGGAGGCGCAGTCATGCTTATATACTTTATGCGCTCAACTCTGCACCCAAGGTTCTGAAAAGCGGTTGCGGTCGCCGTAACGGTGGCAGTGACGCGGTTGCGGTTGCGGGGTGTAAAGGCCGTAGCGTAACGGTTGCGGTAACCGGAACTGTGAATTTTTTTATTTTTCGCACAATTTGAAAAGAACTTACCGATACGCACATTTTTTTTCCGTGATCATATTTATTGGGTTTTAAAATAAATATTGATTAATTTTTTTAAATTTTTAAGTTTGATCCAATATATTTCATATTTTTAAATCACTATAAACTGAATTTTTTACATTTTATTTTAATAATTAATGACTTTATATTATACAAAAAATCAATCACTACCTATTATATATAAGATAAACAATGACAAATGTAAGAGAATAATTAAAAGCCTAAATATATATATATATATTAATCAAGCCAAATAGATAATGACCACATTTATTATTATTATTTTCAAACAGTATATAGATAGAGACACACAAATAAAATGGTTGAGTGATAACAGCTGAATAGAATAACATAAGTCTTACAATTTCAACAAATCAATAACATGTTCTTCATCTTCCCTATTCTCTCTCTCTATCTCTTGTTCCTGCATCTTCCCTCTTCTCTCTCTATCTCTCTTCCCCCATTTTCAACTCTTTTTTTTTTTGTGTTTTTTCGAAAGAAGCAATTTAAAACCGTTACGTAACGGTGCGTAACAGGCCGTTACGGCACCATTACGATCGCTATAGCAGCCGCTACGGCCGATACACCTGTGAATCTCAATCACACTGCAAAAGCGGCCGTAACGGGTGGCGGTAACTACCACAACCGTTACGTAACGGCGTTACGTAACGGTTGCGGCCGCTTTTTAAAACATTGTCTGCACCCATTAGTCTCTTGACACGTGGAGCTGCTCTCCCATCTGTCAGCACAAATCCAGCGAACACCACCTAACCAAACCGCCAGACAACATTAGCGGGAACTAGGCATCCCGACGGCATAACCTCGGCCTCATACGACCGTGCTGCGTAACGAGTCCGAGGGCTCCACTCGCCGAGCTCAGTAGCATTCCGGCAGAGCCGAGTTCAAGACAGGTCGAGCCGGCAAACAGAAGGCCTTTCCCACCGAGCTAAACGTGCGAACCATGGACCTCGGGTTGGCAGGCAATCATCTCGGCCAAGTAAACTCAGCCCAGACACAGGACCTGATCCTCGGCCGAGCAAAACAAACTCTGGACATGGACAAGCCCAAATAGCTCGGTCCCAACATGGTCCTGGGCCTCGACCGAGCAAAACCACCTCTGGACAAGCCCAAGTTAGCTCGGCCCAAACACGCTCGGACATCACCTGCCCGGCTGCTACCGCGGCCTAAACTAGCTTATGAATTTCCCTCTCAATTGCCCCTTAATTCTGTCCGCAAAAGCGTGACTGGGATTACATGATTCGACCGGGGTAGATTCTCCGTTGGTCTTTCCTCCGCAAGACGTTAACCGCGCTAATCCCCACGTTCGGTTTCTAGACTTGCTCGGTCGACGCCTCAACTTGCCATCTTGTCTCTTCAGTACTGACGCCGCCGCCATTATGGACACGCGTCGATCATTTATTGGCCTCGAGCCTCCAACCCCGCCGTCCCTTCATATTCGAATTTTGGCGGTTCTTTCCTCCTATAAGCACGCCGCTTGCCCCTTAACATTTTCTTCTTACTGTTTCTCTTCCATTCCTAACGACCAAGCGCTGCAGTGCCAACCTCCCTATTCAAACACCATTCTTGCCTTGGACTGAATTCGTGCTCGAGGAATCGACTTTCACCCCAAAACTGGAAAGTTCTTCGTATCTCTTCGTCGTTTCGCACTTGATATTGAGTCTAGGGCACGATTGGAGTAGGTGTTAGGATGTAGCCCCCCAATACCCACCCCTGCCCTTTCTCACTCAACTGTTCTTCAACTTGGTGATGAACACGCGAGGATCTGGGACGGACCGGGCTCCAGATCTTCTTTTGATCCCAAAAAACACCAAGATCGAGCAAGTTACGAGTTTGCAAAACTCGCATAGGAACCGAGGTAACAGGGTGCTGGACCGCTCGACAGGGCTAAAATCTGGTCCGCTTGAGCGACTGAGCTTCTGGGTTTACCTCTGTGACTGAGATGGTCTGGCACTCCATATGACTGAGCTAAAGTCAAGCTCGTTTTGCGCGACCGTACTCCCACTTACACTTACACTTCCTTTTACTGCAGAGTCCAAGGGGACCACGCACCAACACTGAGGCTCTCAAAGGCCAAGCAGCCATCAAACGAGAGTTTTTGCCAAACCAACACAGCCGTGCTAAAACCAGCCTGCTTCACATGGGGCGTTACCGCTTCCTGGTTGACACGCCGGTCGCACTAACCGCGTTCCAGGAAGAATACGGCGTCCCCGCAGACGTATATCTCGAGCTCGGTGCCGAGGACACAACCCCCTGGGGCAGACTAGACCAATGCCCTTTCACCGTGCTTTCCATTATCGAATACGGTCTTCGCTTCCCGGTCAATCCCCTAATGTGCGAGTTCTTGAGGCGCACCGGGCTAGCACCAACACAAGTCTCAACCAACACCTATAGAATAATTAACGGGATAGCCGAGCTGAACAACCGGGTAGGCCTCAACCTAGGATTAGCCGAGATACTTCGCCAGTACACCCTCGGGCATACAGGCGATGGACTTAACTACTACCTAAAGATCAGACCGGGCAAGGAGAAGATAGTAACCGACACCCCGGACAAAGATATGCACGACGACGACTTTTTCTGGGTGTCTGGAAACTATAAAACAGCCGACGTGCCCGGCTAGTACATCAGCAAGAACTTCGGTTCAACATGTAAGCCGTGCTCACTGCTCGGTCAAATTATTTTCCTTCACCGTTTTGTAC